CAGAGAACAGTGACAGAGTCATTAGATGAAGGGATTGATTTTCAGTCAAGAGTTAGGATAAGCAACGCCTGTGGGAAAGGAAGACTTCGTAGTGATTTACAAATACTTGGGAAACACATGCACTGAAGAATGAAAGGAACTATTTAGGATAATACAAAACTGCCCAAGGAAAAAGATGAAATTAAGAAATAAAATATTTAACCAATTATCAGCTAACATTTCCTAATCGTTGTTTGTCTAGTTGACTCCCAGGGGAGACAGCAGAAACTTCATTCCATAATCTATTACTTTTTAAAACACTACTACATGTCCAGTAGGGAAGCAAATACCATTTTAAAGTAGACTCTGTGCACCAGAGCTTGCACTAACAGTTTGTTAGTCAATACCCACTACATTTATTATGCCTGCATTTTAAAAGGCAGGGTTCTGAATCTGCTTGCAGTTCAATCAGTGCCGGATCATGAGCAGCAGCAGACGAAGAAGAGATGGTTGTATGTCACTCCTCCAGCCCCACTCTAAGAGATAGCTGGAGAGGAGACAATAATCTCAAGCTAGCAGCGAGACCACGCAGTGGCAGCAAGCACCACACAGGAGTGGTGGTGCTCGATGGGGACTATACAGCGAATGCCTCCCCTGGCCTGTTTGGTGATGTTCTCTACTTTAGGGAGATTCAGGCATGCAGATGTGTTTTTTTTCTTCCTGGACATTACCATAAATCACACCCTGACTGTTCTCCATTTGCCTATAGCACACGCACCTTGCAGAGGGAATGAGGCAGGAGATGGACTTGATCCAGGAAGGATACCACGAGACTGCAGATCCACTGCATTCCTGCACAGCAATCAAATTGCTGGTATCAATACAACCACAGGCATACCTCCTGATACAAACTATTCATTCATCTGACTTAAGTACTTGCACACTGCCTACTACAGTAGTGTACAACATGGGCAATGCTGTAAAGCTGGAAGCTAACAGGACAAGTGAGCTCCCACTCCAGGGGAAAATCAAAGATATGCATCAGCTCTACCCCTACAGCCTTTTATGTAAACATACAAGCAGACATATGACTACCCAAAAGAGACTGACAGAGAAGGACAAGTCACAAACTGAGAGTTATTCTTCAAAACTCAGGAAGATGATATTGCAACTGTCCACATTCAAGTCACACCTTGACCTGTCTCATAACCATTTGCAGCCAGAGAGAGCTGATGCCTACTCCAAACAGTGGAAGTTAACCATTCGGGAGCTGAATCTTTCATGCACTTTACCTAAATACAGCTCCTAGGCTGGATATCCACCAGTTCAAATGCAGCACTCTAAAATACATCCACATCTTGTTCTAGCAGGCTGGATTCTCCCCTTACACACCTTGCAGCAGTTGCACTGACCTACAAGGAACTATTTCTCATTTTCATCAGTGTGGATGACTGTGAATTAACCACACTGAGCTTCTCTTAGGCTAATGCTAATTTATTACATAAAAATATACAATATTCATTACCGAGCATGTAAACAGGAACTAAAGAAGGATGGCAGTTGTGGTATCTACAGACCATTTTTTTCTTTAAGCTGTTCTCCTGAAAGAAACTGAAATGCTGTATTTGAGAAGTGACACAAGTTAAAGTTGTGTCACCCACTCCCTTGTAGAGTCTTGTTTATTAGAAACTTGAGAAGAGGCCAACAGCAGAGAAACAGGCATTTAAGAACCCTCCGAAAACAGGCCTTATCAAAAACAATACACCATTCTACTGCAATCATCCCAAACCTCTGCAAAAATGCAGGCTGTAGCCTTTTGGACTATTACCGCAGAACACTGTTGTATTTTTGAAAAATTATGTAAGAGTCTCTCAGTGCCAAAGAGAAACAAAATGTGGGTTGGAAGAGCACATGAAGTAAGCACGTGTAAGAAAAAAAAAACAAAACAAAACAAAAGGAAAAGAAAACACATTGCTAAAATGTCCACCTTTGTTTATCTAAAAGAGGAATACATTTAAAAATTAAAAACAAGTTTTCAGGGAAGCTAACCATATCATTTCTTGCAAGGGAAGAATCTAAAGTCTAGGGACATAGTTCAGAAGGTAATTTTCCTTTAAGTACACTTCAGCATTTTCCTAAGTGTTTTAAGTGCACATTTAGTTTTTAAACTAAAACAACACCTACATAGATGTTCTGAATGTCCTTTAAAAAAACCAAAACATGCTAAGTGCAGTAATCTCTCTCTCTTCACTTTAAAGGTCACAGTTGTCCTCCTAGGCATTCAGATGCCTTAGGAAAAGGCATGAGCTTGCAAGACAAAAGAAAGCAAGTTAAAGGGCAAACTAAGTTAATGATTTCCAAATATATTTTGGTGGTGAATCTTTAAAACTAGAAGGTGGAAAGGAAAATTTTAATTAGCTATAACCAGCATATTTTGAACAAAGGTCCCCAAGATTTTGACATACAGTAACTAATTCTACCAAATGATACAGACTGGATGGTTGAACCCCAACAGTTTTAGAAACATGAATAGCTCAGTGGACTCTGCCTACTTACTTGCTTAAAGGAACTGTGACCAGGCAGTACTGCAAAAGCTATTTTTAAAAACATTCATATTGTGAACATTTCTACAAAATTCTGACACAGCTTTCAGTGATTAGGAAGAAAATCTGAGTGTAGCATCATTTAACAAAACATTTCCATGTGAGCTGAACTCATTCCTAAGAAATCATTTCAAACCCTTCCTTGCACCAAAAAAAAAGGAAAAAAGATTGTGTCTTAAAATAAATCACTCTAAATTTAATGTGTCACTCCATTGTACTGTGAAAACAAGACCCATTTAAAGGAACATTTTATTAACACCTATTTGACCTGATCTCAACTATTTCTATAGTTCCAATCACTGAGTTATTTACAAGCAATTTTATAAATAAACAAAAATCTTGGCACTTCAGACTGTGTTTGTTATCTCAATCAAAACCAGTTCTAGCTCTTTACAATATGTATTAGCATTGAAGGAAGTAAGCATATCCTTGTGATGGATACTTACCTGGGACAAGGTCTGTGCATAAGAGGAGAGTGGGCTGACCTCCTCCACTGCTGGAGGACACAACTTGCAGAAATTCTTCAGCCCAGCCCAACTTACCCTAGATGAAACAGCTTCTATGGTAATGCAGATAGCCTGCTTGATCTAGGACTGCAGATCCCACCAGGAAGGAGAAGAAAGAAGATTACAGCAGCATCACCTCAAGCACAGGGAGAATGCTGCAGGACTCCCAGAACAAAGACTGGGCCTGAATAGTTAGAAAACAAAACAGAACAGATGGGACTTCTTTACATAAATACTGTAGTACAGGGAGTGAACAAGAACCAGGAGAGAAAACAGGGCAACCTAGCCCTGTGGCTAGATTATGCCACAGAAAAGGGTCTTAAAACAGCAGCCCTTTTACAAGTTTGTACCAGAAGTGGGGTTGGACCCATCTAGAAAGGGTGGGACAGCAGAGAAATACAGACTCATTCATCACCTTACAACCTGGTCCCTAAAGATGGAAACAAAGCTTACGAGATCCCTGCTCCAGTTTCTGAATAGGAGCAACATATTTCAAGGAGACGGTGGCAGGAAAGACCTGCTTATTGTAAACACCGAAACAGAAACAGATGAGGCTGTAATCATTGTACCTAATGACCACTGACATGTGAAAACTCTAGGGTTTGTGCATCAGAGAAATCATGACCATCAAAGATAACTCATCAGAAGTTGCTAAGGCATGAACTATGGTGAAGCTTTAAGGAAGGATCATGAGGAATCACTTAGGCAGAAAAAAGTCTGTGTTTCCTCAGCGGTGAAATGCTTGTCTGAAAGGCTGAGATTGGGGTGGGTACTGCTACACCACAGCCTGGCAAAGCAGAGAGATGTGGGGCTCCACAGCATTAACCCACAGTCTGAGGTTTCAAACTTCTTCTTGGTTAGAAGAGATTCCCAGATTCAGTTCCCCACAAAAAAGGGTGAAAACTTCAGGTATTCCCATCATTCTGGGAACCAAAGACAGGCCTGGATGCTATACAACATCCCACACACTGCTTACATCGTCATTTACATGTAACAAGCCGCTCTGAAGGACAACACAGTGCCCAACTTCAGGATCCAAGGAGAAGGGAATCAATTTCACAGGTCTGGAGTTTGCTCCTTATCAGGTTGAATTACCAGCAACAAGAAAAATGACAGCATTGTTGAAGTGCTGGGTAAGAGACCAAGATTCATAAAGCAGAAATATCCCAATGTGTGGAAGAACTTGTCGCATGGTGGGAACAAATCCAGCACAGAAAATCACCCTTGCACAGGCAAAAAGGAGGCATAGGAAAGAATGTGGTCTCACGCACCTGCATTTGTAAATTTGCTTTAGTGATTCATGAGTGGAGGGAGGCACTACTACCACTACACAACTCATGACATGAATGATCCCCTCCTTTCTCCTAATCACATTATGGTCAGGCAAGAAAAAATGCTCAGGAGAGAAAGCAAAATTTATTTCATAAGAGTGGTTTTTTTAAAAAAAGAAAAAAATTAGAAATTCATTTAGAATTAGAAATTAATTTAGTTTTATAGATAGCGAAATAAAAAATAAAGACTGTTTGGAGAATTCTTTGCTGAAGGACCTTAAGAATAAGCAAGATCCCTGCTGAGCCAGCTTTCCTGTTAGATCTATATCTTGACCACATAACATCAGAAAATTCTGGTAAGTCTGACATGCGGCTTGAAGACAGGAGGTGACATCCTAAGGGTTCCCAGTCCTTGACAAAGCAGAAACTTGGATCCTGGGAGATACAGAAATGCAGGACTCTGCATTCTTTGCTGCCTTGCCTTCTCCACCAATTAGCTGTGGTTATCCCATAGCCTCTACGGTGTCAATTCTCGATCAGTTCAAACCAGCCAGCACTGGCTAGATAAATGAGTCATTCTTGACCAAGCTAGCATTTATCCCTTCCACCCCTGACTCCACAATTGCTTTAGAGACAGATCTTCAAGCTGCAAAAGCTGGCTGTAGATTTTGAGTATCTAGCATTTCTGAGGTGTCCAGGAACATGTTGTTTACATAGCCAAGAACACGGATGAGGACATTTTCAAAATTTAGATTCTGATTTAATCTTCCTATCTGGAATGGAAAGATATGGGGGATTTAGTCCAGACATGACCATGATTTGTTAGTATTACAACTATACTTGTACATACCATATAAAAAGCGTGTTTCCTCTGATTTACTTTTAAACTGCTAGAAAGTTAAATGTCATAGTTCTTGCTGTAAGTGAACACAGAATACTTTACAAAAAGTTTTCCTTAGCTTGTGTACACAGAGGCAATCCTTGTAACCGCACTTCCCCAAACTGCCAAAACCTCTGTCCTTAGAAAAACGCGTATTTTTTTCCAAAGACAGTGTTTTGAAATGGCTCATCAAGTTCTCTCACTGTTCAAAATAAATCATTCTATTTATCATCAGGTCATCTTCTCAAAACATCAGAAAAAAGCTTCTGATGTACATAACCTTTGTTTTCATTCTACTGGTGGAATTAAAGCAATGTCAAGCTTTTTATAGACATAATATTTGTTTTGTCCCTCTTCTGCATGTTTTAACCAGCTGTTAAGATAATCATCAAAAATCGCCAGGGAAATGGATCACTATTAGTGCCACTGAAAACAGCTACATCAAGACAATCCAGTACTACCAAAAAGGCAAAAATTACAGCAGGCAAACATCAGCAACACCACATACTCTTTTGTTTCTTGAGGGAGAGTCACTGAAATAATTTCCCAGATTTCAGAGTTACATCTCTTTTGTATATATGTCTACTTGAGACTAAGCATATGTACATGTGTGCACACAAAATTTTATGTCAGGTATGGAGATCTAGCAAAAACAAACAAAAGTCTTCAGAATAGGAAAAAAGGAGCAGTTAATCTTTTAATGCCATCGTCTGCATTCATTAATTCACATGAATTTTCTAAGCTATTGACACCATTCCTCCTTATTTACATACATTTTTCATCTCAGCTGGACTACAAGCCATTTCTATCTAGCTCTCTTCTGCTTTCCTACATCCAAATTTAAAGCAACCAAACATTGCCAGATGGGTAACTTCTCTGCATCTTAACAAGAATACTTTGATTCAGAGAGATCCAGCAGCTACAGAAACAGATGAACAAGGCATTGACTGGGGCAGCCAAATACATGGAAGAACAAGGGACCTGGATCTCCCCTGTCTAAACCCTAACTAAAGTGGTCCAGAGTGCACTGACAAGCCTTTTTGAAATAACCCAGACTTTAGAGGAGAGCTTTGTAGAGCAGGTCCTGACTGTGAAGTTTCACAAACTGCAGAAAGTCAGCAATGAACAATGAGAGGCACCAATGACCACCAGTAAGCTCACCAATTGTGGAAGGCTGGTAGTCACTGGAAACCTGCCGTTAAGTCGGCAGCAAAAATCCCTGCTAAAGATGACAAACATGGTACATGTCCTCCCTCACAAGAAAGATATGATGGGACTAGAACTAAAGTCAAACACAACCTGATTGCTTATAAATAGGGCAGGGAAAAATTAAATACAAAGAAAACATGGAGAAAAAAAAAAATACTGTTTTTCTCCCATGGTCATCAATCAAAATAAAGCACCGTTAACAGCTGCAGATACTGTGCACAGGAGATCTCCATCCTGCACAGTATCTAAATGAATCTTGCACGCAGAAACAGACCAAAATCAAACTAGTATTAACTGTTTAATTTCAGGTGAGCTCTGGGGATGATCTACCATGGAAATAAAACCCTTCCTGGAAGCTTTCAAGCATATTGCCTATTGCAATGAGAAGGCTTTCCGTGCAATCTGGATCATTTCTAGAAGCTCGAAGGCTCCTTGCAAACCACCTTTAAAGTGCCAAAGCCAATATCTTGTTAAAAGAGATACAGCAAATGCGGGCAATGTTCCTCTGACCAACTCTCCTGTAAAGCCTCCTTCCCCTAGATATTGATTCAGTTGTATTAATCAACACATTGAAATGACCTGTGAGAGTTTTCAACTTTGTTCTGAGGGTCTGTTGTTACCAATCAAAAGGCAAGACAAAATATGCTGCTTAACCTAATGACTTCAGGTGATAATGCAGCCCCCTGAAGGAGCACTACTAACAAAAACACCTACAAGGAAGGATTTTAAGCAAAGACACAGCTTTTTCCAAGGATAAGTAATGAAGCTTTAGCCTTGAGCCACCAAAATAATGGTTTATACAGAGGAAACAGCAATGCCATGATCCTGCCTGAAAAGCTGAGCAGCCTAAACAAGGGAAAGAAACAATCCAAAGTGAGATACATTGGGGAAAGGGGGAAAGTAAAACAGGTTTTGCTCTCCATTCTGCTCATTAGTTTAAAGGTAACTTGAGCATGTCTGCTGCATTACACTCACAGCCTGACGAAAGTGCAGACATGCCCTAAGGGTTTTCATTCCCTGACAGACTTAAGTGGAGACTGTCAGTCTATGAAATCAGCAGACAGTGCAATAAGTTTGTGCATTACAGCATACATAGGTGCACATTGCTCATAGGTGGACTCTGCTCAGCTCTCCTGAAGGAAGAAAACCCTTTAACCCTCCCAACACACAGGTTGTTACTTGAAGGATAGCCTGGTGATGCTGGCACCATGGCAACAGTGGCACCATGGCAACGGTGACAGAGTCAGCAACTTCGTGATCCACACAGCTTTGATCCAGCCACACGGAAGTTTTACCAGCTGCTGTAAATTTCTTCGAGATCTTTTATTTCATATTTGCCTAAATGCCTGCACAGACCTCCAGCTTCCCTAAAGCACATTCTTCTCAAAGGAGGTTTTGGTCACTCTCTTCTACCCTTTCCTTATATTTTATTCCTCTTTATTTTTTCGAGCATTATTAAAACAATAATGGTAAATTCCAGGGGTTCTTTAAGAAATAGTTCCGTGTACTGTGACTCAAAAGCAGCCAGTATTTAAACACGCCTTAGCAGTCAAATGCCTAATGTTAAAACTTAGTTCTAGTGTAAATGAATCTATCTGGTTTTCATAGCAATTAACTCCTGACCCAGCTTAAAATCATCTGCATGTTGCATTTAAAACATATGAAAAAAAGAGGGAGAGGGTAGATCAAATGACAAACATAGTGAGCAACCTGTCCTTTAAAATGTTTTCAGAACAGAAGCAGTATAAATGCTGGACTCTAGCAAAATCATCAGATACTTTAAGATGGGGTTTTTTTACCTTACCAATACCCCAAACAATAATCTGTGTATGGCAGAGGAATATTTTTATGTATCAGCTTTTCAACTGCTGTAAGAAAGATTTCTTAATTATCCCTAGTATGCATTTAGAGGGCAGATAATCCTCTGCATTTCTATGCCTAGATACTTGTACGCAGTTCCACTATTTAGAGAATTAGGTATCCATCCTCTACTTTCTATCGCATTTATGAAGATTTTTCTCAGGGCTGTTTTTTGTACATACTTTTCGTTTCCAGGATGTGATGACCAATACAACCAAGACGCTGATCCTGCAAGTGCAAGACTGAAGCAATAGGTGGTTGTATCAGCTTCCTCAAAGTCATTCAGCATCCTGTTTTAGCAGATTAATACATTGTCAACGATTAACGTATAATCCTTTCAGATTAATATGCTACAGTAACTATTTTTTAACCCTGAGCATCATGTGAATGCCAAAAGAACTGACGAATAGTTGTCTAACTTCATCATTCTTTTATTCCTCATGAGACAAAGGTGGCCAAGCTATTGTTCTTGCACCGTATGCATCTCATTAGGAGTTTGGCTGTGGGAGAGCATGAGCCTTTAGGGGGTGCTGAAGCTGTGGTTACTAGGTTATTCTGGAACCCAGCTGTGTGCCCAGCCCCATCCTATAATGCAGAAAGGGTTCAAAAAAGCCCATCTGTCTCTTGCCTCTGAATCACTTCTAGAGAATCCTCTGCCTTCACCTCTTTAAGGTATGTGGCACCTGTCTTACAGCTCTCAGCCATACAAAGATTTAATGTATAGCTAACTGATAGCCTTTCTGATTCGTGGCAATATCTTAATTTCCTTGGTTCTGCACTCTCTTCCTTTTTTTTAACCTTACAAGAACCACCACGGAGAAAGATACAGCAATTATTTTATGTTGCAGAGTGTAATTAATAGAATTTGTGTAAGAAAATACTCCTCTTACAAGAAACAGGACATTATCATCATGTTTACAATGATCAGACATGAACAAGACAAGACTCTTTTCAGAAAGGCCTATATCTATCAATGTATAAACATGTATCTATATATGCATTCATATATAAACACATATTATATATAGCATAGAAATATATAAACATACGTCACTGATGAGATAGGGCTGAACTATTACAAGCACGTTGTAACTCATTTTGCTTTCCTACAGAAAGTGAAAGATATCCTGAGACTTTTAAAGAAAACCAAAACTCTTTGCCCCTTGTAAAATACTAGATTGGGTTGAAATTATGGCAGCAATTTCTTTTTGAACACCAAGTAGCCACTCCACCCTACCTTCACTTAAACACAAACAGCAGACTTTGTCATAATACAGAGAAAGCCAAAACAAGAAGCATTTTCCCTCCACTACTGGAGATAATGGCCAAAACATACATTTCCCCTTCCTATGACTAATGAGATAGCTAATGAAGTGCCACCTATCTTCAGCCTATAAAGTGTAGAGTGGTTATAGTACAGAACTAAATTTTAACAGTACCTCAGTTCATATTTAAATATTTCTCTTAAATGTGACCACTGAAAACATAATCCAGATACTGTTATTACTCTCAGTGTTCCAGTTCTGTATTAAGGAGACAAAGGGAAAACCCTGCACAATTCATGTACGTTCTCCCAGAAGCGTGCTTTGCTGACATGGAAACACTATCAATCATGATTCAAACAGGTGTACATACATGCACCAGACTAATAGCATCTGTTTGGGTCAGTTCTGCAAACGAGAGGCACAATCCATGGAGCTGAAGCTTTGTCAAGCAAGGACAACAAAAGTCATTTAACGAGGGATACGAGAAGGCTTCTTTAGGCCTTTGATTTTCTTCAACTTTGCCAAGAAGTGCTTTGTCCATTCTTGCTGTTACAAGATT